GTCTTCAACCTTGGCAACTTTAAGCCTGGTGGACTTCAACTTTCAGAATTCCCCAACCAGTTGAAGTCCGCCAGGCTTAAAGTTGCCAAGGTTGAAGACCCCTGGTTTAGGAGACCACTACGGACTCTTATCAGCTGTGTGTTAAACTGTGTAGTTGAAAAAATGTCCCAGAAGGATGCATGACACTTCTATCATAATAACAAAATAACTACATGAATATGTTAATGAAATTACTAGAAATCTAGTTTGATTTGGAGACTTTATTTTTATAATTCATTCATTTAGTGGAACTTGCAAGTTATTCTATGTGTAGCTAACAATACTTTACTAGAAGGAAGATATAAGTTAAAACTTCAAAAGAAATGTAAAAGATATAGGTAGCCCTTGCTGAATGATCAGTCAGTAGTATGAATAATAATATTTTCTTCTTGTTCATATGCAAAATAATTTTAATGTCTTTAAAAATGTAAATTAGTTTGAATTAATTTAAAATACTTCAAAATTGATTTTGTAGTAACAGTTATTCATACTTAGTCTTGGAATGTTGAAAGTATCTTTATATAATATCTTGTGATGAAAAGACTCATTGACTGCAATTTCTTTTTAGTTTTTTATTTCACTGTCCTTCATTCTATTATTATCACTCTTGACATTTCGATATGAAATAATGTTGCTTGGTAACAAGTCAAAACATTGCGTGTCTGTGTCTGTAAAATTATAACTAGAACTTTTCTTTTGGAGAAGTGAACTTCAAATGAATGTTAAAATTAAGAACACACAAAAATGGTAACAGTATTATGTATTTATGGATATTGTGTCACTTAAATATATGCACACAAAGTGATGCATAGGTTTGGATATTTACATATAGTACAATAAATATAGCACGTAAATTTCGGTATTCAGTTTTATTAATACATAATTGAATAACCTGGCCATTAATATCATTTATAGCTTTATGATACTTTAAAGATTATACTAAAATATATCAGAAGAGAAATATAGCTACCAGATGAGAAAAAGTACTCTTAAGTAAATGCCATGTGATTTGTGTAACTTGTTTCATTGAAAATATGTAGGAATGATCTTGAAGAAATATGGCATATATTTGTTCTTTTTATCAAAGACTCTTTGACAGAATTGTACTGCTTTACTCAGTAATCTTTAGTTCAAGACAGTAGATATATTGTTTTAGGCGGGTATAATTGACATATTTGGAATTTTGATAAGATATAGGCACAGTCACAAAATGGTTGCTTTGATGTTTGTGACCAGTCATAAATAACCATCTCATAGAAACTGGTAACACTAGAATGCAAGTATTCTGCCTCTGAATTTGAATGTGAGAGAACGGCAAAGCCCCTAAATAAGAAACTATACCTTTGAACTAAAGTTTCAGACTCATTCAGGATCATTCCTCCTAAAGTTTGTTCTCTTACCCACACAGGCAGCACAAAACTCAGCTCAACCACTAATTTTTCTTTTAGGATTCCCGGTGTATTCAACCCAAACAAGATAATCATTTGTAGTAAACCTATAATCCTCAAATTCCTAATTTATGGTCATTTGAGTCCTCAACTGAATCTGCACCAGAACAGAGAGTTGGTACTCAATTGCTTACCTCTTATTTATTTCTTAAAACATGATAGTCCAGAGTGACTGCAGTTAATTAAGCAGAAGTGTTAAAAATAGAATAAAAAGTAGATAATTTTTCTTCAGCATTTTTTTGGAGGTTTCAAAGTAAAAAGGGAATTGTTTTTCCCCTGGGGAATCTTTATTAAATAACCTCAGTGAACCAAGTTAGTTATTCTAAGTGGGTTAATTTCTATGTCAGATTAAGACATTGAAATCACATTCTCTGAATATTTAATCTAGTTTCAGAAAATAATAAGAGAAATTCAAAGGAAGACAGTAGTGGACCTCTATATGCAGCGGTGGGATGCTTCCGGTTCTGCCCAGCTCTATAGAACCAGTAGCTCTGAAGAGGAGCAGACACCGAACTGGTTCTGTGTCTGCTGCTGTTTGGCCCGCCCGCCTACCTGGGCTCTTACCTGTCCTTTATTTCCTGCTTTTTCAACCTCAGCTGCTTTGCGTTGCACAGCTGAGGTTGAAAAAGCAGGAAAGAAGAGGCTTTCCAAACACTGCGCACCTGTGTGCAGCGCTTTTCAACTGTCCAGACGGCATAGCTAAAGGTTTTTTTTACACACGTGTGCAGCGTGCGTAGTCACCGAACTGTAGTCACCGAACTGGTAGTAACACCGGTTGAATCCCATCACTGTCTATATGGTATTCTTTATTTCTGTTCTAGGCCATTTCATTCATATTTAGTTCAGTGAAAGAAATTGGAGGCAAAATTGGATTAATTGTTCACAAATTCTCAAGGAATTCTTTCATTCTCAACTTTTAAAAAGTTATGGTGCAACTTCTGGTCATATTAGTATTAATAAATTATATATTTAGTTTAATTGGGGTGAATACAGAGACCAGAGATGTGAAATGTAGTTTGTCAGTTGAAGACACTAAAGCATTGGGAAGAATATCAGAAAGTTACTGTGAAAAATGAGATTGGCAAACTATTCAAAAATTAGAAATACTACTGTCAATTATAAATTAGAAAGAGTGTTCTTTGTGTGGTGGTATGATGATCTCTTTTACAGAAAATCAGCTTTTGGCACCAGTAATTCTGAGGCTTAAGCTCTGCTTTTTTCTGAAACCTGGTTGTATCAGAAAGTGATTATGGACCTAATGTTTAAGCAAACCAAGAATGCTGTTTCAATAGATCAGTTATTGTTATTAGAGCAAACACTAAGTTGAAAATGTACTTTCTGATGCATATTTTTTTAAACATTAAATAAATATACAGAGAACACCTTTATTCTTGTAACAAATTGTTATATTTAAGTGAAATAATGGATCAGAAGTTATCTCTGCATGTTTTACAAAATCTAGCCTGCCCAAAAAAGGAAAAGATGAAAGGACATTTTTGCTTGGAATAGAGCCAGTCTTCCAAAAGAGTATAACTGTTTTTTGCATGCTTCCAAGTTTTACCAGTGTGTGTGTGTATATGTGTGTGTGTGTGGGGGGAGAGGATGGGAGTGGGAGAGAGAGAGATAACACAAAACATCAAAAAGCTGAATTGAAATTATTACATCCAGTTTTACTAAAATTTCACTTTTGTTATTAAGGATAAAACATTTTTATAAGTTTATTGAATTTGTTATGGTTATATCTTTTGCGTTAAGTTATTTATCTTAAAAACATTCTTGTGAATTATTTTTCTTGCATTTTAAATTAGCTTTGTGCATGTCTAGATTTTAAATGATGGCAGTAAGAAAAATATTGCTTCGTGTGCCACATGTGATGATTCCTGAATCAGTAGAATCTGACCATATTAGCATGAGGGGAATAGCCTATTACTATTCATACCATAGTTAATAGCCTGATTTATCTGTTGCAATATTTTATACGAGTCTTTACTTAATGAGCGGCAGTTCGGTTTTCACTGGTTCAAGGTTGACTCAGCCTTCCATCCTTCTGAGATTGGTAAAATGAGGATCCTGATTGTTGGGGGCAATATGCTGATTCTGTAAACCGCTTAGAGTGTGATGTAAAGTGTGAAGTGGTATGTAAGTCTAAGTGTAAATAAGTCTAAGTGCTATCGCTATCACTAAAAGTATCATTTGATATAAATTGTAGCAACCATATAGGAAATCAACATATTAGGAGCAATTACACTTCTAAAAAGATTTGTACTAGTTTTCTAAGCATATGTTGCTAGGTTGTTTTTTTTTTAAGTATGCAGTATCTTGCCTTCATTTGTTTGAGGAATTTGAGGTTGTTAAAGAGGAATCAGCAAAGGTATACTCACATTCTGAGTTCATTTTTTAAGCATATAATAGAAGATGAAATAAATATCTCTGGAATTTCACTTAGTCCTCACTTTCTACTTTACAGAAACAAGTCAAGAGTTTTCTCCATAGCCCATCTTTTTGCTTTAAATAAGTTTATAGTTAATTTTAAACATTTCAATAGAATTTAACTATTTCTTTTATATTTTTTATAGCTGAGTACTTGAGTACTGTCTGGGGACAAAGGCAGAAATCAATCAACCAAAATAATAAATAAAGTCCTCTCTGAAGTAATGGCTTTTTTGTTGATGCTCATGTCCAAATTAACATTACAATATGTTTCATTGCACTATTTATGAGTCAAAAATCCAAGGAGTGGTTAACTCTGCTCTTCTGCTTGGAGACTGAGTCAATCAATCTTTTGTTCACACCTCCCTTGGCTGAGCATGTTCAGTTTCGACTCAGTCTTTGCTCAGAAGAGACATGTAGAAGAGCACTCTTAGAACAGGATAAATTATTCCTTGGATTCAGCAAAAATTTCAGTCAGCGAATGGCTCGGCTGGCTCCCCCGGTCTTTCCAGCATAGCTGCCCTCGCCACGGCTGGCTTCCCGGCCACCCAACTAAGCTGCCTCAACCCTAACATTGGCTTTCCGGTCCGTCCATCCGTCCTATCCATCTTTGTTCTGGCTCCAGGAGAGTCAAGGTCCTTAACCGAGCCACGGAGGTGGCAGGAGTCACTGCCCGGTTGAATCCTGTGGCATACTCTGAAGCAGCTAAGATAAAAGCCACAGAATTTAAACTAAAATGATGTTAAAATGTTTAGAACAGGGGTGGGCAAACTACGGCCCGCGGGCCACATCCGGCCCGTTGGTCTTTTTAATCCGGCCCACCGAAGATTGGTACACAATTAAGGTTTGATGTGAATGATTGAATGATTGCATTCATTTGATTTTGACTTGTAATGACAGGCATTTCGACACCAGGTGGCGGCCCGTCTGCCAAATTTTAAAAGTCAATGAGGCCCCCCGAGCCAAAAAGTTTGCCCACCCCTGGTTTAGAACATGATTAAACAGGCACATTTATGCTTGAGATGTATTTTTTGTAATACTCATTAGTTGTGTTCTTTAAAAAATATCTATTTTGTTCCTCAGGACGGATTAGATGCCTTGGTATACGATTTGGATTTTCCTGCTTTAAGAAAAAATAAAAACATAGACACATTTTTAACCAAATGTAAGTATATATATATATATATATATAGTATTTATTGTTCTAATAATAAACGACAAGAACATTTACAAAGAGTATAGACTTGGAGGATGAAGTAGGTAAATCTATAGGTATACATCTTTGGAAATCCTTGAAGTAAGATGATAACAAAAAATGTAATATGTGTAAAATCTGACTCCCTGTTTTTTTCTTGTATTCCAAATGTATAAATATAACCTTGTAATGTAGACTTTATAAAATGTTCAAATTCACAAATGCTAGCAAGAATATAATATAAGAAAAATAAACTGATAAAGATAAAACAAAATGCTGGAAAATGCAGGACAAATATTAGAATTGATAGATTTATTCATCCCTGCAGATTTAAAGGAGTTTACATATAGAATGGGAAATAATCTCCACCACATAGCTCAATATATATTGAACATAACTTGATGATCATGGGAGGGGAATGAAAAGTAAAATGCAAAATTAGATAGGATTACAATATTGGACATAAGTACTTCATTGGAGACTCTGGAAAAGGTAGTGCGGATTTCAGCATTGAACCTTACATTTTGCAAATTTGTGTCAGCAATCAGGCAGTTAATTAAAACATTGTTACTGCATTTATGATAATTTGTAGTAGTTAGAGGACAAAATTCTATAATAATCCTTTCTAAGAATCTCACTGATTGAGTTTTCAATATGTTCATACAAAGGAATAGTAGGAATATGTTGATACTATTTCTTTGAATTTTGCATTAGAAAAAGTTATACCAGCAATTTCAGTTTGTATCCCCTGAACTGAAATGTTAATTTTTTGGTATAATCTCATGCCAGTTTTGACCCATGTAGATTAAAATAGCATGTTACCAAATTTGGAGTTAAAGTAACTGTCAGCTGGGAATTTAAATTATTATAGTTTGTTTCCCCCTAGTAGTGCTTTAAAAATGCAGAGCCTCTAGCTTATAATTTCATGGTAATTAAAAAAACATGAAAATTAGTGAAAAGTAAACACTACAAACTTATTTTATGTTCAACCAAATATTTTGTAGAGCATTGTGGATAATTATTTGACAAGAATAGCAAAATGTTCTAATAATTTTTTTCTTTTAACTTTTTTTTAACTTTTAACTTCTTTTAACCATTATTAAAGTTTAGTCTTATTTCTACAGTGAAGTTATATTTGGCATTTGAATGTTGCTATGAGAGATTCAAAGATATTTGTAGCCTGGTTAAGGCTGGGAAATTGTTTATTTAAACAATTTCTTATTTACACAAGAAATGACCAATAAATAGAATATAATTGCCATATGACATTGCCATGGGTTTATACTATAGACCAACCAACCAAACAGGAAACAGGAAATAATTAAGGTATGTAGGAAGCACATCACAATAGTAATGGGGGACTTTACTATCCTGATATCAACTGGGAGACAAACTCTACACCAAGTTCCTGACAAACCTAGCAGACAACTTTGTCTCCCAAAAAGTAGAGAACGGAACTAGAGGATCAGCCATATTGAACTTAATTCTCACTCAGATGAAATGATAGAAAGTGTTGAAGCTACAGGAACCTTCAGGGGGAGTGATCATGCAATATTGGAATTCAGCATTATGCAATCATGAACAATATAACGAGTCAAACTAGAACAGGGGTGTCAAACTCATGTCACAGCGGCATCACGTGACGTATGGGGACTTTTCCCCCCTTTGCTAAACCGGGGGTGGGCATGGCTAGCACTTGATGCATCCAGCCTGCAGGATGGGGGTTGACAGTCCCGAACTAGAGTCTTGGAATTTAATTTCAATAAACTTAAAGCTTGGGAAGGATTCCATGGATGAGAATCCTCAAGGGGAAAACAACTCAAGTTTGGGAAATTTTGAAAAGTGAAATTAGAAAAGCCCAGTCTGAAGAAAAGAAAAATTACAACTCTCAAAAGAAACCAGCATGGCTGCATAAAGAACTCTCTGATAAATTGAAAGACAAAAAGGAAAAGTATAAAAAGTGGAAAGAGGGGCACATAACTAGGGCAGAATATCAGTAAATAGCCCGAGCCTGCAAAGATGAAGTAAGGAAAGCTAAGGCTCAAAATGAACCAAGGCTTGTGACAAAAGTCAAAAATAACAACAACAAAAAACCAAAAACTTTCTGTCAACATGTTAAAAACAAGAAAAAAGTCAAGGAAACGGTTGGTCCATTGATGGGAGAAAGTGGCAAGAAGGTGACAAGCAACAGGGAAAAAGCTGAACTACTTACTTCATTTTTTGCATCTGTCTTTACACAAAGGGAAAAACAGTCCAACCTATCAAAAATAGCACCACAAAAAACAGAATAGGAACACGTTAAAATATGGAAGAAAATGGTAAGTGAGCGCCCATCCACCCTAGATGAGTTCAAATCACAAGGACCAGATGGATTACACCCCAAGGTTCTGAAGGAACTGGCAGACGTGATTTCAGAACCACTGAACTATATCTTTCAAAGATTTTGGAGACCAGGGGACTACCAGAGGATTGGAAAAGAGCGGATATAGTTCCAACTTCAAAAAACGGGGAAAAAAAATACTTCCAGGAAATTACAGACCAATCAGCCTGACCTCAGTACCTGGGAAGATTCTGAAAAAAAATAAGCAATGAATTAGCCAACATGGGTTTGTAAAAAAACTGATCGTGCCAGACAAATCTTATTGCATTATTTGACAAAGTAACAAAATTAGTGTTAACCAGAGGAATGCTGTGGATATAATTTATTTGGACTTCAGTAAGGCATTTGATAAAGAAGACCATAATCTACTACTTGATAAAATAGAAAAATGTGGGTTAGACACATCACCACCAGATGGGATTCGTAACTGGCTGACCAATTGCACTCAGAGTGTAGTCCTCAATGGAACTGCATCTACATGCAGTAGATGCAATAGGGTACTCCAAGGCTCTGTTTTAGGCCCAGTACTCTTCAACATCTTCATCAATGATTTGGACAGGGTGATCATCAAATTGATGACATCAAGCTAGCAGGAATAGCCAACATTCCAGAAGATAGACTTAAGATATAAGATATATTTTAAGATTAAGATATTTTAAGATTAAGATATCTTGACAAACTTGAACATTGGGCACTATCTAACAAAATGAAATTCAATAGTGAAAAAAGTAAGGTTCTACATTTAGGCAAGAAAAATAAATGCACAGGTACAGTATAGTATAGAAGCTCTGGTCACAAACCAGAGCTGACCATGACCAAATCGGGTTCCGATCAAAAAATACACAAAATTTTTGAATCTGGTCATGAAGATATACTTGGATAGTGATCAAAAATGACCCCATGACCCAGAAATTTCTGAAGATGAAAATTAGAAGATGAAGAAATCGCCAAACTTATGGAACAAATTATGGTTGGGACCAAAGGTTCTACTGTATGTGGTACCTCGCTCAATAGCAATAACTGAGAGGGATCTTGGAGTCCTAGTGGACAATCATTTAAACATTGCCAAAAAAGCCAGCACAGTTCTAGGCTGCATTAGCAGAGGGATAGAATCAAGATCACATTACGTGTTAATACCATTTTATAATGTCTTGGTAAGGCTACATTTGGAATATTACATCCAGTTTTGGTTGCCAGGATGTAAAAAAGATGTTGAGACTCTAGAAAGAGTGCAGAGAAGAGCAACAAAAATGATTAGGGGACTGAAGGCTAAAACATATAAAGAACGGTTGCTGGGATTGGATATATATAATTTAACAAAAAAAAGGACTTGGGATGACATGATAGCAGTGTTTCAATATCTCAGGGGTTGCTACAAAGAAGAGGGAATCAATCTATTCTCCAAAGCACCTGAGGACAGGACAAGAAGCAATGGATGGAAACTAATCAAGGAGAATAGCAACCTAGAACTAAGGAGAAATTTCCTGACAGTTAAAACAATCAGTAGAAGAATTTGCGTCCAGAAGTTGTGAATGATCCAACACCGGAAGTTTTTTAGATGAGATTGGACAACCATTTGTCTGAAATGGTATAGGGCTGTGATGGTGAACCTGTGGCACACGTGTTACAGGTCGCATGCAGACCCATTTGTATGAGCACGCAAGCCCCAGGCAAACCTACCTCCCTGCACATGCGTGTGCCTCACAGCTGATTTTCGGCCCATTTGAGGCCTTTTTCGGCCTCCCAGAGGTTTGAAATACTGGAAGTGATGAAACGGGTCCATTTTTCAGTCTGCAAAGGCTGCAGAGGCTTCCTTCCCTCAAGCCTCTGGGAGACTGAAAAAGGCCTCAAATGGGTAAAAAGTCAGCTGTGAGGCCCAGTGCAGATAAGGGGGGGATTGCGCGCACATGCGCAGGGGGCGTGGGGCCCCCCTATGAGCATTGTCTTCTGGGTGCTGGCATGTGAGCGCAAGTGCGCACACAATTTTTGGCACAGGAGCCCAAAAAGGTTAGCCACCACTGGTATAGGGTTTCTTGTCTAAGCAGGGCGTTGGACTTGAAGACCTCCAAGGTCCCTTCCAACTCCTATTCTATATTCTATTCTATTTGAATATAATAGAAATCATAATGTATATTTTATGTGTACATTTATTTCAAAGACCATAAGCTTTCTTTTTATAATGAACCTATTACTACAGTATTTTTTTATATTTTCTTCATAGACAAAGACACAATAAATAAAGTAAGAGATCTCCGAATGAAAGCTGAAGATTATGAAGTAGTAAAAGTGATTGGTAGAGGAGCATTTGGAGAAGTTCAGTTGGTATGTTATTCTACGTATGGAGATTTTACAACTAAGACTTCATTTATTTTAAAATCGAATTTCCATTGAACAGACTATTCTTATATGTGATGGATGTTTGTGACATTTCCTCTGCTGCCAAAATCTGGGAACTTGAAAATAAATATATGCTTTGTATGATTGGACCTTTCTGCTGTCTTGTTAATACTTTCTTAAGTGCATATTTTTCTGAGTGAGTGTTGAAAAAAAGTGTGGTTTCTTCTAAGAGCATCTGGAACTACAACAATTCTACCACTAGTTTTCAGTATATTATTTGTGAAAATTGTCATTGAATAAACCATGATTAGTTTTGTGGCAGTAAATAATAGTCTGAACTGACATTTTCTTACCAATTAGTTATTGTAGGGTGACATGATTTGTGGATGGAAATATATTTTGATTATTGGCTTATTCTTGCCTAATTTTTATGCCCTGTATAAATTTGTAAGCAAGCAAAATAGACATGATTATTCAATTGAAAAAGAGCAACAAAATTACCAAATAAGCCACAACTACTTTGTCTGCAAAATAACATCTGTCTCCTTAACTATAAATCAACCAATTATAGTTAAAGTAGGCTATTGTTTATCATGCTCTGTGAATTATATATAACAAGCAAGATTTATCTCATCTTAAAATATATACTGTGGAAGAATAATTTTGGCGATTATATTTGTTTTCATTCCTATTGTTACAGTATAATATACAGAACAAACTATCATGTTCTAATGTTGCTAGTTGTACAGATACATTTTAGCAAGTCATATTGTAATTTTTATATAAATATATAAAGTTCTTATCTGAGACGAGAGATTACATTTCCAGGCTGCACTGCAAGTAAAAATTCATTGTTTTCAGTGGTTTTATTTTAAAACTTTAATTGCTGTGAGAGGTATACTTTTCTGGAGGAAAGTTTTACTCTTGGAGAGAGGTTACGTCTTTCTCTCCTTAATGTATACTCTACATAAATAATGGCTTCATGCTCTTCCATCAGTGTTTTAAAATCACCGATGTTAGCAACTATTTTAAAATCTAATTATAGTTTTGGGAAATAAGGTATTTTGTGAATAGACAATATATAAATAGTACACATACCTTTAGTGAAAAAAACACTGGAAAGTCACATGCCCATAATTGGTTGCCCTACCTAGTTTTAGGGTTCATGCCCTCTGCATTACTTACTGGATTGAAATATTAATAGTTCTTTAATATATGCAGTAATAAGCAGTATATCAAATTAAATTTGAAGGTACTTGTTTTGCTTATAAAATTAATGCCAAACTCATATGTAGGGAATGTTATACTGGTCAGTTATAAAAATTTCATGGCTACCTTTACAGGTAGAAGCAACTTTGGCCAACAACATTTCAAAGTATTTAGTTGTAGAATATCTATCCTTGATATGACAATGTTCAATAGCATTGATCTTTTCTAGACCTGTGGAGTGTGGGACAGTTTCTCAGAAATAAGTAAATCAGTAATGCTAGAGAAGAAGAGCTAGAGAACAACAGTGCTCCATGAAATGCGAAAGAGCTTTCCTTTTAAGATGATGACTAGGTATATAACCCTAATCTTTTAACATAGTTAATGGAAATAGAATGTAATCATGCTGTTTCATACTTAATATTTTTTTCCATGTTATTTGTTTTAAAGGTAAGACACAAGTCATCACGAAAGGTCTATGCCATGAAACTTCTCAGCAAATTTGAGATGATAAAAAGATCAGATTCTGCATTCTTTTGGGAAGAGAGAGATATCATGGCATTTGCAAATAGCCCTTGGGTTGTTCAGGTGACTTTTATTTGAATTCACATTGGCCAAGAATTATAACATTTATTTTGAATAAGTGTCTAACATTTTGTATAGAGCGCATATCATTTAAAGCCATTTTAATTTACTGACCTACAATTTTAAACTCTCCTTAAATACCGTGTTTCTCCAACAATACAGCCTTCCCCAAAAGGAAGTCCCAGCATGTTTTATAGGCATAAAATCAAATTAAGCCCCTCCCCTCAAATTAAGGCCTAAATTAAACGTGAAATGGGGGGGAATGGCGGGGGGGGGGCTTGCTGTTAGGAAGTACTTTTGTTGCATCCCCGGATATGGTGCATTGACCTCGGCGTTGGTGGGGCACTTCGTATTGGGAGACCTTCCACCACCATTGCTTTCCCTTCTCCCCATGCTGCCACGGTGTTTAGAGCAATGCCGTGGCATTTGGCGCAGCCACGCATGGCCAGCCAGGGCTTCTCCCTGCAACTGGAGCCTGGCGGAGACACTCGGCTTCAGGCGCTCCTGTCGTCGCCTTCCCTTCGCCTTCGAAGGCAAAGCCAATTCTTTTAAAAACGATGCCCTACTACCGGTATGACAAAGCCTCCCCTGCCCAAGAGGGCAGCCCAACCCCACGTGAGGAGGCGAATCTCCCGGGGCCGCAGTGCAGGATCGGCCCACCCTGGGAGAAGTGCCCAGCCGCCATCCCTGCCTGGTGCCGGGCAGAGCGCGAAGAGCTTCACCTGGGGCACCCAGCGCAGCTGACAGGTGGGCCCTCCTGCCCGGTGGTGGAGCTCTCGCCAAGGCAGCGAGTGCCTCCCCGCTGGGCCCTCCGCTCATCTCGCCAGGACCGTGCCAGAGCCATGCGGATAGGGCAGAGCCGGGAAAGGGAGCCGTGGGTGTGCGCCCGCCTGCCAAGCGAAAAAGCCGGGCCGACCCGAGCTTGGCTTCCTTCCCAAGTCCCTCCAGCCGGAACCCGAAGGGGCCACCGGGAGAGGCTGCCCGAGGCAGTGATAGCACCCACCCATCCGTGGACAGGGAGGCGAGGCGACAACAGTGCTGCTTCCCTGGCCGGTGGGTCCGGTGGAGAGAGCCCGAAGCCGCCCATCCTTTCCACCCCTCGCCCAGCCCGTCCCCACGCATCAACAAATGCGCCGGCAGCTCCAAGAGCTACAGCGGCATGGGCATCGGCGCTCACTCGGTGGGCCTCAGCTCGGAGGAGGATGCGGCACAGGCCGTCACCTTGCCTCCCTGTCCACGGATGGGTGGGCGCTATCACTGCCTCGGGCAGCCTCTCCTGGTCCAGGCCGCACAGCTCTGGTGCGGCCCTGGAGGGATGAGTGGAGGGCCCAGTGGGGAGGCGCTCGCTGCCTTGGTAAGAGCTCCGCCGCCAGTCAGGAGGACCCGCCTGTTAGCTGCGCTGGGCGCCCCAGGCGAAGCTCTTCATGCTCTGCCCGGCGCCAGGCAGGGGTGGGGGCGCCAGGAGCACCTGAAGCCGAGTGTCTCTGCTGGGCTCTGGTTGCAGGGAGGAGCCCTGGCTGGCCACGCGTGGCTGTGCCAAATGCCACATGGCTGGGCCAAATGCCACGGCGTTGCTCCAAACGCCACAGCAGCACGGGGAGAAGGGAAAGCAACAGTGGCGGAAGGTCTCCCGATACGAAGTGCCCCACCATCGCCGAGGTCAACATCCAAGCCGTCGCCGCCCGCCCGCCCGAGGATGCAAGGGGGGGGAATTAAGTCACCCCCAAAAAGACAGCCTAGCCGTTTTTTCGGGGCTCAAAAAAAAATAAGGCCCGCACTTATTTTGTGAGAAACACGGTATATTTGTACTTGAATAATTATTCATTCCAATAATTAAGATAACTTCAGTGCAAATATTTTGCAGTTGTAGTTTGAAAACAAAGATATAAACTGGTAATTATGCATAATGCTAATTGATAAGTAATTATAAAAAATCATCTGTTTAATGTGTTTGTATGAGTCATTCTTCTTATGATTCTACAGAATTATGTAACAGAAGGTACAGTATTTGGCCTGGTTTAAAGTCATATCCCAATTTATTCAAGCAAAATACACATGAACATACAGCCCTGTTCATCTCTTTGTAGTTAAATTTTTTATAACAATGGTTTTTTTGTTTTATTCAAGTTAGAAAGTTATGCTTATCCAGTCTGGATCCAGATAGTATTTTAATTTAGGTTATCTATTAATATTTTGGTGTATTAAGTTAATATCTATGACTTTTGTTGCTGTGGTTAATTATGGACTTTCTTGGTTAAAATTGTAATCTGTGCAAAGGGAAGCGTTAATAAGTTGCATGTGAAAGATACAGTTATCTGAATGCAAAGTGTAGTTTGGATATCTCCTTCCGTATAGCAAGCTTATTTATTATGTGATAGTAATACCCAGTTCTTGCTTGCACATGCGCGCACACACATAAACATGCACAGTTCTCAACTTATAACCATTTGTTTAGTAGCCATTTGAAGTTACAACAGCACTGAAAAAAGAGACATTACAGTTTTTCACACTACAATTGCAATATACCCATGATCATGTGACTATAATTCAGACCCTTGGCAACTGGCATGCATTTATGACCATTGCAGTGTCCAGTGTCATGTGATACACTTTTCAAACTTCTGACAAGCCAAGTGAGACTAGATTCACTTCACAACAATATTAATAACTTAACAATTGCAGTGATTTACTTAACAACTGTAGCAAGAAATATTGTAAAATGGGGAAAAATTCACTTAACTCTCTTGCTTAGCAATGGAAATTTTGGGCTCAATTGTGGCTGTAAGATGGGGGCTACCTATCTATTAGTTTTTTATCACTTGATATATTATAAATATAAACTCTATTTACCTGTAACTTCCTTTTTAAAAAAGAAAATAGCAGTTGATAGGACTGCAGCACACAGTAATTCTAGTCTATTATCGTTCATAGTTATTTTATGCATTCCAAGATGATCGTTACCTTTATATGGTGATGGAATATATGCCTGGTGGGGATCTGGTAAATTTAATGAGCAACTACGATGTCCCTGAAAAATGGGCAAGATTTTATACAGCAGAAGTTGTTCTTGCATTAGATGCCATTCACTCCATGGGTTTTATTCACAGGTAAGTATCTTTTATATAGCCAATATTCTCAACATTTAAATTGAACTAAAAATAATAATATTTTGAAATTTTAATTTATAATACTACTGGACTATTTACAATGTCAAACTTGAGCAGATTGAAGATAATCAGCATAAAATTGTTTCATCCTTTCTCCAATACATTTATAAAAAGAATGAGTTGCTGTATGTAATTACCATGATAGATATGCTTTATTATAGTCAGTGAGTAATGAAATGACAGTTACAAATAAAAGTTAATAGTATATGCATAATGTTCAACGTTTAATAGATTACCATTCTTCATATATTGGTTAACAACTACTATAAAGTTAAGTAAATTATATTCCACAAAACATGAAGATAATATGTCCAGAAAAAAAGCAAAATAAGATTATTTTAGCATTATAGAGAATACAAATAAACTGATTCTCTTTATGTAATTTATACTTTTAATCTGCCTAATAGCTAGATTCATACTGATGGGTTACAAATTTCCTTAAACAAACAAAATAAAATAATTGAATAATAATTCAAAAATAATGTAAAGAAGTTATTACCTTAATATAACATATACATCTAAAATAAACCAACTATAAATATGCTTAATAAAATGTATTAATCACGTTAAAAACACATTAATATAGATTCCAGATTTTTCCCTGATGGCCTGCAACTGAGAAGTTATTCCCTATTCTAGTTGTATAGATGATGGCTTTTGTGCATGGTTACCATCATCTGGGCACATATATTAGAAAGGAGATTTTCCTTTAAGAGCAGTAATTTCCAATCTCGGCAATTTTCAGATGTAGGAACTTCAGCTCAAAATTCTCAGTCAGGGCTATAGTGACTGGGGAATTACTCGTATTTCATACACCTGAAAATAGTGTTTTAGAGGAACAGAACTCTAAACCATTCACAGCTTTATATTTCAACATGAAGACTAAACTGGGATTGAAAGTAGATGGCAAACAATACAGTTGATAAAATACTAATGTATAATTGTATTGGCCAGGAAACTGGATTCAGTTATGGACACAGACGAATCACCCAAAATAACTAAAACATCATGTACAAGTAGTCCTCAACTTACAACAATGAGGTGTTTAGTGACTGTTCAGAGTTACAGCAGATCCCAAACCTGTGACTTATGACATGGTTTTGAAGTTCTCATATCCAGTTCTCCCATTCTCATGGTTACATGACTGCATTTTTGACAGTTGGCAATCATCCTGCATTTACAGACAATTGTAGTGCTATCTGTTGCATGATTTGGATTAGCTGAAAAGGTAATCTAAAGTTACATATTTAACTAATTGAGTTCATATCCACTGTGCTGTCTTTCAAAATCAAAATCTTAGTGCCTCACTATGGAACAGTTTTCATTTGTCTACACAAACATGTTCAATAATTACAAGAAGGGAAATGTATTCTGGAAATCTACTCTAATATATGCCAGCTCTTTCCCCCCTTTTAATTGTACTGCTGTTTATGCAATTTGCTGTACTGTGCACACATTACTGGCCAGTTATTCTTGATTTTAAAAGAATCAAGAAATAGATGGTGTGACAGATTTTGGTATTGTATTAACCTTGTTGAATTTCTGGCATAAATAATACTGTAACTAAATGGAAAAATAAATTGAGTTATGTAAGTATAAAATGTTTGTCACAATTAAAGGAGAATTTGTTTCAGAAAGGAAAAGAAATGCAAATTCACTTACAATTCATAATTGACTCATTTTGCTAGCCATTGTTCATTTGTGTTCTTTATTTCGGATGAGGCTTAGTAATGTTCTTACTTAATAAATAAAAGTTGACCTGATAATATTTCTTTTACTGTTTTCAGAGATGTAAAACCTGATAATATGCTGCTGGATAAATCTGGTCATTTAAAACTAGCAGATTTTGGTACCTGTATGAAAATGAATAAGGTTAGTAGATTAGTAGACTACTAATTAGCTTTTGGCTTGTGAAAAATCATGGTATTCTGAAAAATAGATATCAATGTGTGTTTAAATTCAAAATTTTAACTAGAGTTCATATTTAATTTCAAATTTAATTTTCCAAACAGATCTAAGCAATCATCTTGCTTCATATACTTTTAAACCATCTTTGCTTTTTTATAGGAAGGTATGGTACGATGTGATACAGCTGTTGGAACTCCGGATTATATATCCCCAGAAGTATTAAAATCACAAGGTGGTGATGGCTATTATGGACGAGAATGTGACTGGTGGTCAGTTGGTGTTTTTTTGTACGAAATGCTTGTGGGTGAGTATCAGAAAACTATTGTGTAAATTATTATCTTTTTCTTCTATTTTGTGTGTGTGTGTGTGTGTGTGTGTGTGTGTGTGTGTGTGTTCCAACATAACTCTGGAATGCCTCGAGCAATTTCAACCAAACTTGGACACCCCTAACACCCCTCGGTGTGTGTGTGTGTGTGTGTGTGTGTGTGTGTTCTCCCATGAGCTGTTCAGAACATCCAGTAGTGGGAGGTGCTTCAGTCTCTGCATTTGTAGGCTGGGCTTAATTTGTGGAACGCTCCTCCTCCTCCACGGGACTCCTCCTCAGTGTTCCCCAGTTTTTGCTCAGCCTCATGAGAGATAGGCAGTACTTGTGATTCTTCCTTGACCGAAACAGGAAAAATTCTTTCGTGGCCAGCAGGTTTGATAGTTAATCAGTTTGTCTCTAGCTTTCTATCCCAAATTGATCTCGCAGCCTGACCTCGCAGGTCTGATTAGGGGAAGCGCCGATTTGCGCCCCCAAAAACGGCAGGAGGGTTCGGCGCTGCTCCGCGCCACCTCTTTACAGCCAAATTCTCTACCCCTGCCAGTTTGATTGCCGCAGCGTTTCTCTCGTTTATTCTGTCAGCGGTGTGAGGCTTTCACTCCAAAACCGAGTCGTATCGCTCTTTCCCCTCTCCGAACGCCGTTTCGAAGTGGAGAACTTGAACTTGTGATAACTTCCACTTTTTCCCGCCGTTAGCTTAACAGAAAGAACTCCGGTGGCCATTTGCTTACAGGGTGGGAAGTTGCCGCTTTGAGGAGCGCGCCAAAAGTTTAACAGCTGGAGGCCATTTTGAGCTGTCAAAACCTCGTGGCTGTGCGCCTGCTTTTCATTCTCGAGCTGTGTGAGGTAGTTCTGCTTGGAGCAGCTTCAAGATTCTGGGAACTATTATACCCTCGTCTTGGCTTGTTTGCATTCGAGGCTATTTATTACGTTTCAAATCGTTGGCTTAACCCTCACAGCCTAATTACCTCAGCATAACTTTGCAGCATAACTCTGGAATGCCTGGGCCGCTGAAATGGAAAAGAATGAAGTATATCTATACTGTCAAATCACAGTACTTTTGACAGTGATAGTGTGCATTTTGGATTCAAGTTAAGATACAGCCTGTTTTTGCCTTAAAATGGCTTCTACTGTACAGCACAGTGGAGTTGCCATGATAACGGCTTCACAGTACTCCACAACGGGGGGGGGCCTCTGGTAAGGGGGATTGGTTCTTTTAAAAAAAAGAGTTTATAATTTGTATATTCTACTATTACTTTGATTCGACACTATAGATATAATTCATTCCTTTTCTTGTCTAATACAGGATTGGGATAAATAAATACCCGGACAACGCTGGGTTATCAGCTAGTTACATTATAAAATAAACTACCTTGGTTTTTTTATTGCCATCAATAATAATTTTAATTATTGTGTATCACAGTCCTATTAAAATTATTTGAATCAAATCTCATTGAGTTCTGTGATACTATTGTCTCTTTCTGTTTAGGATTTTTTTTTAAATTTCTGTGACTGTTGAATTTCATTTGCTGTTTATTTATCTGGGATTGCTATATCATTTGCAGTCCCTTGTGAGTAGCCAGAAAATATTTCTATTAGAAAGGTTTCAGAGCCAATTGTATCTTTAAAAAATATATACAGTATTTGAATCATCTGTTCTTTTGCCTGCTGTTATCCTTATCTTCCTCATTTTTTCTGCTACACCTGTTACCCCAATCTCTTTTTGCAGCTCTTAGAATGATAACATAAGTGGTTTCTATTGAAGTGGGCATGAGGTAATCTTTGGAAATATATGATTGCAAAATATCTTTTCCTTTTTGTGATTTTGATATGATAATGCTATTTGAGTTCTTAAAATAAGCATAAAAAGCCACTGCTTTTTCTGGCTGAATAGTATTGATATATTGCCAGGTTGTGCAATCTAGCCATCTTATTTTATTAGTTTTAACAATCAGTGATTTATAATTATTTATAATGTTTTATTTCTTGTTTTAGGGGATACACCTTTTTATGCAGATTCTTTGGTTGGAACATATAGTAAAATTATGAACCACAAGAATTCTCTTAGCTTCCCTGATGATAATGATATTTCTAAAGATGCAAAAAATCTTATTTGTGGCTTTCTAACAGACAGGTAATATATTTAGAATCGTATTATGGAAAAAACATTTTTAAATACTTATTATTTTTTAAAAAACTTAAAAATTAAATTATTAAATGAATTCTTCTTTTAAGGAGAATTATTCATCATCTTATTAAATATCAGCTATGTTCATGTAACATATCAAAAATTATTTTAACCACAGGTTTTTGAAGACATTAAAGTCAGTGCTATTTCTTATTTTGTTTTCTTTCTTTGAGGTACTTGTTCATATTTCTGTCAATTGGATAGAGTTTTGAATATAATAGAAAACTATGTTCTTCATGTATTTACACTAAATCATAATAATATCACTATATTACCAACAAATGAGCGTCAAACAAGGAGTATCGTTTTAAAACAATTCATAATAAAATTACTACAGATATTGTTATTCTACACGCCGTTCAGCTTTCTGGGCAAGATCTTAAAAGATTTTTCCTCTGGATATCCTGTCTTGAGTTTTTGTACTTTAGACCTGTAACATTGTTATTAATTTTTCCTGACCCTCCCCCAAACTTTATCCCCTGCTCTGATTCTTAAAATATAGCAGAATTTTTTCTAATAATTTGAAAGATTTGAAAAGAAATGTTTTATAGCTATGACATGCTCAGTCAAATGCTGATATAAGTAATGATGTATGATTACTGATTACCTGGAAACATGGTTTCAACTAACGTCAAATAAAAAGTTTTTGGATGATTTGTATAATTCTATAGAAGCATTTGCAATTCCTGTAATATCAGATAAATGTTTCTAATAGCAAATATTCTTTTTATTACTGAGAATGGGGGAAACTTTTCCATTCTATATTTACAGCAAAGAAACTGCTATGGTTGAAATAAATGATCTCTTTGTTTTAAAATGGGCTTTGAGTTCATATTTCATTTGTTTACAAATTATTTTCATGTGTATGCAGCATGTGTAGTATAATTTAAAAATTATTTCACTTTTACAGGGAAGTTAGATTAGGAAGAAATGGTGTGGAAGAAATCAAGCGACATCCATTTTTCAAAAATGATCAGTGGTCTTGGGAAAATCTTAGAGACAGTAAGTAATTTACTGTATAAAATCATATTTTCTTGTAATATAATTTTAATGTGTTATAATGTTGAAGGAATGTAATTTTCTACATAACAGATAAAGAAAAACAGTTTCTGACCTGCTTATTCAAAAGGCCAACACTCACACAACATTCACAAGATTCACACTGTTTCACTCCAGAAAGTTTATGTACATCCAATGAGATTTTACATACTTTCTGTCTTCCTCCCTCTTCAATTTCTAAATGTTTTCCAAATATTTGTTTCTTCATTTATCATATTTCTGAACCTCCATCTCCTTCAAAGAGAGACTTGTGGGGTACTGTGATATGGGGTATTGTGGGCTGCTATTGAGGAAACATAATCTTAGCTGAGCTGGGCATCTAAAATTTGTTGTGTAGTTCTTTAAAACAGTGGCTTCCAATCTTTTGGGCACTGGGGACCAGTTCTGTGGAGAAAGTTATTTCTGCAGACGGGAGGGATGTGGTTTTGCGTGCTGCTTGCATTCCACGGATGGGGCTTCGCTTGCTTGTGTGGCTCAGTTGCTGACATGTTGCGGACCGGTGCCCATCCACAGACTGCGGGTTGGGGACCTCTGCTTTAAAATATACAAAAAATATATAAGTACTTGTCATAACAAACCCTATGAAATGGTTAAAATATTTTAAAACCACAGCTTAAATATCTTTTATTTATTAAACAGAATCCATCTGAAATACTTGATTCAGGATAACAATTTCTAACCTCATGATTAATATTAAGTCAAATTATCAATTTCATAAAATTGTTTTGATTTTTATTTACCAATTATTACAAAATAATTTTTAACCATTCTGAGTTTTTCCTTTGATTTTCTATTATCCCAAAGGTTGTAGTACCTTGCAGTATTATAATTACAATGGAAACATTTAGTATTTTGAGATAACTGGATAAAATGAGTAATTGTGACTATTTTATACAATAATATATGACATTTATAATTTATTTTTAATTTAATTAACAAAGCTCTTTAATTAATAAAACAGTAGTAAAATATTTTATGTTTTATAGAAAATACCACTATTATATATGAAAACAATTGCTTTGATAAGTCAGTTTATAATAATTTTCCTGTCACAGGAAAATTCTAAAATATTAGAAATATTTGGCAGAATTGAGACACTCAGATCATCAATTTGTTATGAGCTACTCTGGAACAATTTGTGCCTCTCAATGTTACATAATTTTTAAAAACTTTTAAAGTTTCTTGGGGATTTACGCACATACTGCTCAAAATACAATAAAGATTTCAGTGTTGTATGATCGTAAAACAACTTAATTTTTTCATATCAGCTTCATTACATTTATACCTGTTAATACACACATTTTTATACAATTATTAATCTTTGTTCTTTTGGGGGGGTTTTGGGTAGCCGTAGCACCTGTTGTACCTGATTTAAGTAGTGATATTGACACTAGTAACTTTGATGATCTGGAGGAAGACAAAGGTGAAGAAGAAACATTTCCTATACCAAAAGCTTTTGTTGGCAACCAGCTACCTTTTGTAGGATTTACTTATTATAATAATCATCAGTAAGTATATATAGATTTAATATATTGGCTTGTCTGTAAAAGTCATGAGAATATTTATAACAGGAATATAGTAAATATAACTTAATTATTATTGCAGTCATTAAAATTGCCTTGTGTTAGCCTATTGGTGTTGGAAACATCATATTGCAGCTGTATTTAGTTTAGAGGGTTATCATCCATTCTGTAGAGTTTATTTTGGCTTCTGGTAACCTGACTGCATTTTACTTGGTGTGTGTATCTTCCATTAAATAAGCCAGAATATTCAGGTAATAATTGCTTTTATATTGCAAAATACACCTACAGGGATCAAAGTTATGTTTGGTAAATGCAACAAAATCTAATAAGGAAAGATTTTTTTTTTTTTAAAGAAGGCATCTCTTTATTTGGAAAAATCAAGTTGCATGTGTTTAGTAATGCTTGGAATGATCTCTGATTCACTTCAGAAGAATATTTGGAGCACAGATGTAGCACTGTCTGCACTCTAAAGCACCTGTATTTTTTCCTGAAATTATGCAGCAACTATAGAGGGCATCCATATTTAAGAATTTAAGAAAACATGAGGACAACACATTTCCCAGGTTCACAAATAAGTATATTAAAACATGAATATATTACTATAAAATCAATAGTATGCTTTTTAGAAACAGCTCAATCATACATTACCTGTAATAGTAATAGCATCAATATATTACTTTAAGCCAGGATATTGTCACTGGTATAAAATATAAAAGGCTTCAATCTTAAAGTGCACAGTACAGAAATTATGAATAAATAAATTGAAAACAACAATGGAAGAGAGCTTTGGTCTTTTGAATGTTATATAGTGAACGTAGTCTAGTTCTAGTATAAATAATGGTAGAAAAACAACACACATACACATAGCTACAAAGAAGACTTTATGATTAGTATAATAATAATATAGGACAAAGACATTTTTCATTGATTGCTGCCAGTCTCTATATAGTAAATTGAATTTTCTGAGCCTCATAGTAAATAAAATTCGAAGGTTTCTTTAAGTTTTGGAAAAATAAAGGCAATTTTTTTATTAAGGATGTTCTGTTTCCCTTTTTCAAAATATATTTCTTTTTGTGTCTTTCTAAAACTTTTAAAATTGTGTTTATAGGTATTTATCCACCTGCACACCTAATTCGAATGACAACAGAACAAGTACCAACGTAGATAAAAACTTGGTATATTTATTTATTTTTTAAATTGTCATTGGTTAAATGTATTCCATAATTTGTTTACGTTCTGAGAAATGACCTATTTTAAATTAGATATAATTATATAATATAACTTAAATAATAAAAAATGAAATTGAAATATTAAAATTGGATACTTAAATTGTTTTGTTTTGTTTTGTTTTACATAAATATTATAATTTGGCTAAACTAAAATTCATTTTCTTTAATAAGTACCATAAATTGAAATATGTTGAATGAAGTTTACTCTATTACTGTGGAATAAAGACTTAAAGTAATATTTTTCATATTTGATATACAATAGGTGTAGCATTTTAATATCATTTTGCAACTCCAAAATATTATTGGATATTTTAAAGAAAAACACATACTTTGGCTGTTTCATATATTTTAAATAAATAATAGAAAAAATTGAAATGTGATCTTTTGTATCTCTGTATGCTAGGGGCAAAAGACAATTTTATTCTCAATCTATTTCTTTACATAGTTTAAGATACTAACTTCACAATTCCGTGTTCCAATGAAAGGCATTACAATGACTTCTTAAAAATTAAATATAAATATTCATTTTTATAATTAAACGCAAAAAAATCCAATGGATTTTTGTCATCTTAATGAAAAATTATAGGAAATGAGAGGCAATGTAGAGAAAATCATTATTTTGGCATATCTAAAGACAAAGTTTGAGTCTTTTTTCCCCTTTTCATTAAAATCAGTGCTAACCTGCACTCTGTGCTTTTGAAAATTAATTAGATGTGTTTATTCTTTACCAAGACTTTTTAATATGCAAGTATCATAAAACCAATGCAAAAAGGTTGTGCTTTACATATTTAACTAGTTTTATAAAAGTATAACATAATTCATGTTGTATTTTGTACTTATAGCTAGAATCTTTGCAAAAAAATATTTATCTGCTTGAAGAACAGCTCCATAATGAAATGCAGCTAAAAGATGAAATGGAACAAAAATTCAGGTAATATGTTTCATTTTGTTCAGAATGTCATAGTTTTTATGAAATATCACTTGTATGATAATAGCATTCAACATGTTCATGTATGTCAGCAAACATGCAATCGCTGTGAGGAATTTGGCAAACTACAGATTGTATTTTTGTCATTTCTTATTCCCATTGGAATTACTGACTTTAGATGTATTTAAGAACAATAATTTTGAAAACAATATTGTAAAAATGATTTATGATAGCACAGACATTTTCCTAACTGATATTAAGAAGAAGGATATTTAAAAAGTTTGTGGAATTTTGGTGGCATTAGCATTTTTGGTATTAAAATTTTAATGGTTCAATATGTATTTGATGTTTTGGCTATATTGATCAGCTACATATAAACTATTTTGTCTTAAAGGAGGTAATAAAATTCAGCTCTTATATTCTTTACAGAACATCAAATATTAAACTAGACAAGATAATGAAGGAACTAGATGAAGAGGTAAGTGTTTGAATTTTTAGTTGGAAATTTACACAATTTTACATTATACTTAGAATAGATAAGAAGAGATTGCTAATACAGTGGTCTTCAACTCGTCTGGCACCAGGGGCTGGTTTCGGAAGAAAAAATATCTTCCATGGACCGGGCAGGGAGAGTGCAGTGCTTTCGCGAACAACCTAGACCTCATGCATATGCAGATAAAGCTTCGTTTGCTTGCTCACCACTTGTGTGGCCTGGTTCCATGGCCTGGGGGTTTAACAAAAACATATTGGCCTAAATTAGACCATCTATCAAGACACGAATGGGCCTTGATTTTTCCTAGGCTTGTACATTCAACTTCCCTCTTATCCTCCACAATCAATTTAGTATACATGTATAGAAATAGCTAGTTTTAAAAAGTCTTCTAAATGCTGGTTTAAAGATGTTTTATTTTAAACAAAATGTAATTTACAGTAGGTTAGTAATGCAAAAAAGGCTATTTTCAACATGATGGAATATTGGGTGTGATTCTCACAGCCCCCAGAATGTGAGAGCCAACATTTCATTTGTGGATTTACATGGATTTTAAGGTGCAAATTGGGCACTTTAAGCCTTATTCAGACTTAAGATACTCACTGTAGCATTTAAATTTCTAATCGCCCTTCAGAACTCCTTTTCTGATACATTTTCAAAGTGTACAGAGTTATTATATAAAAACTAATATTCAATTTCCTATATATCAATTTATTATATTTTAAAATAGCAAATGTATTTCATTGTATTTTATTTATTGTAAGAATATTTTGATTAAAATAATTGCAGTTCTGTATTGCAAATATTCAGATGAATGCTTAGCTGTACAGTTTTATTGCTAAATATGATAACTTACAGGGAAATCAGAGAAAAAATTTGGAATCAACAGTTACTCAAGTAGAGAAGGAAAAGATGCTCTTGCAACATAGAATTACTGAATATCAAAGAAAAGCTGAACAGGAGAATGAAAAACGTCGAAATGCAGAAAATGAAGGTAAGCTGTATTGTGTAGTCATGGTTGATATATAATGCATCCACATTTCTTTACTTAGGCATGATTAAATTTTGTCTTACCAGTACTGGTAGTCCTTGACTTACGACCACAATTGAGCCCAAATTTTCTGTTGCTAAGCAAGACATTTGTTAAGTGAGTTTTGTGAGTTTTGCTCCATTTTATGTCCTTTATTACTACTCTTGTTAATTGAAACACTGCAATTCTTAAGTTAGTAACACAGTTGTAAAGTGAATCTGACTTCCCCATTGACTTTGCTTGTCAAAAGGTTGCAGAAGGAAATAATGTGACCCTTAGATACCGCAGTCATGAATTCATGCCAGTTGCTAAGCATCCGAATTTTGATCACATGACCATTAGGATGCTGCAATGGTTGTAAGTGTGAAAAATGGTCATGTCACACTTTTTCAGTGCCGTTATAACTTCTAACAGTCACCGAATGAATTGTTTTAAGTCAAGGACTACATGTATATACCCTAATCTTAGGCTCCCTCCCACCAAATTTCAGCAATATCAATGATGTCACATGCAACATACCCTCCAATTTCTACCCTGGTGCTGAGATGTCCTGTTCTCTATTTTCTTCCCCATTCTCTGAGCATTGGGCTACAGTCATTTGGGGCCCTTCAGTACTGTCTTTCTTAAGAGTTTTCCTGCTCATCTTCTGATGTATTTCTTTGCCCCCCTTCCTTCTTATCACTTCCTTTCTTGTTATAAGGCTTACTGTTTTGAGTTTAGTTCTGGGTATTGATCTTTTACCCCTCCATGGTTAATTTAAAGTCTGCCAGATGACTTGAGTAAGATGTCTTTGAACCACATTCTTCTCAATCTTTGTGAGGTAAAGTGTATCTTTTACAAAAGCCTTTTAGTAGATAATATATCCTTGTCCAAAAATCCATGGTTTTGTGGATGACATGATTCCTTGGACTAGCGTTTCATCTCCAGAATCCTCTGTTCTCTCTTCAGGCCACGATTATCAATAGAAAGTATGAATGAAATTTACCTAGAAATATTATGAAAATGTATGCTTAAAATGTTTTTCTTTGCTTTTAGTGTCAACATTAAAAGATCAGCTGGAAGACTTAAAAAAAATTAGTCAACACTCACATATTACAAATGAAAAAATTACACAGTTGCAAAAGCAGGTAAATAATTTTGCACATATTAATTCCCCCCACTTTCATACTGCTGCCTTTCATGAAAGCCCTAAAGATTTAGAAACAGTAGTGGAAGCTTGGAACCAACTTCCAGCAGAGGTAGTGGATCAGTCATCAGTAGTTTAAATATGCTTGGAATAAACATATGCCTATTGTCTGACAAAAATAAATAAAAAATAAAAAAACTGAAAGGCAGACTCGATGGACCACTAGGTCATTTTCTGCCATCAGTTTAATATGTTTCTATTTCCATGAAACCCTAGACCTTATGATTTTATAAAGATATTAGTTTGTTATGATTGTTTTAATGATTTTAATGATTAATTATTCCTAAACAGTTGTTTTTCTATTTTGTTCTTCTGTTATTATACTATGGTTTTAACTTGTCCCATGTGTTACATTGAGTTGCTTGATGTTTAAATGGCCTAATAAATACAGTGCATTCAGACCCTCCCTTCACTTTTGTCAGGTTCGTTATGCTGCAGCCTGATTGTACTGTTGTTGAAATACATTTTTCTCATTAATCTACACTCACTACCGCATAGTGATAAAGTGAAAGCAGAATTTTAGAAATGTCTGTAAATTTATTAAAAAGAAAAAACTGAAATATTACATTGGCATAAGTATTCAGATCCTTTGCAACAACACTTGAAATTTAGCTCTGGTGCTTCCCATTTCTCTTCATTGTTGCTGACATGTTTCTACCTTGATTGGAGTCAACCTATGATAAATTAAATTGATTGGACATTATTTGAAAAGACACACACTATAGAAGGCCTCACAGGTGACAATGCATATTGTACCAGAGCAAAAGTCATGAGGTCAAAGGAATTGCCTGAAGAGTTCAGATACAAGATTATTGCAAGGCACAGATCTGGGAAAGGCTGCAATAAAATTTCTGCTGCATTGAAGGTTCTTAAGAGCATAGTGGCTTCCATAATTCTCAAATGGAAGAAATTTGATACAAACCAGCACTCTTCCAAGAGCTGGTTGCCCAGTCAAACTGAGCAATTGGGGGAGAAGGGCCTTAGTAAGAGAGGTGACCAAGAACCTGATGGGCTGAGCGCCAGAGATCTTATGAGGAGATGGGATAGAGTTCCAGAAGGACAGCCATCACTGCAGCCCTCCACCGATCTAGGCTTTACGGCAGAGTGGCTAGATGGAATCCTCTCCTCAGTGCAAAATACATGAAAAACCACTTGGAGTTTGCAAAAGAGCACCTGAAGGACTCTCATACTGTGAGGAACAAGATTCTCTGGTCTGATGAAACCAAGATTGAAATGTTTGGCCTCAGTTCTAAATGTTCTGTCTGGAGGAAACCAGGCACCATTCATCACCTGTCCGATATCTTCCTAACAGTGAAGCATGGTGGTGGCAGCCATCATGCTGTGTAGGGAGTTTTTCAATGGCAGGGACTGGGAGACTGGTCAGGTTTGAGAGAAAGATGAATGGAGCAAAGCACATGGATATCCTCAATGAAAGCCTGTTCCACAATGCTCAGGAACTCAGACTGGGCCAAAGATTCACTTTCTAACATGACAATTATCAATGAAGACAACAATCAAGGGAACACAGTAGTAGTTTAGGAACAACTCTGTGAATGTCTTGGAGTGGCCCAGCCATAGCCCTGACAGACTCTATTGAACAACTCTGGAGGAACCTGAAAGTGGCTGTCCACCAATGGTCACCATCCAACCTGACAGAGCTTGAGAGGATTTGCAAGGAAGAATGGCAGAAAATCCCCTAATCCAGGTGTGCCAAGATGGTTGCATCATACTCAAAAAGACTTGAGGCTGTAGTTGCTGCCAAAGATGTTTCAACAAAGTACCAAGTGAAAGGTCTGAATACCAATGTTTCAGTTTTTTATTTTTAATAAATTTACAAACATTTCACTTTGTCATTATAGGGTAGTGAGTGTAGATTAATGAGAAAAAAAAATGATTTTCAACAACTGTGGAATCAGGCGGCAGCATAACAAAATTGACAAAAGCGAAAGGGGTCTGAATACTTTCTGAATGCACTGTAACTAAATCTTTCTTTTTAGGGTAGTATGAGCCAATGCTCAATTTAGACTAATCTCCAATTTTTCCCCCCTAACTCCATTGCTCACACAGCTTGAAGAGGCCAATGATTTGCTGAGAACAGAGTCAGATACTGCAGCAAGACTAAGGAAAAGTCATACAGAAATGAGCAAGTCAATAAGTCAATTTGAATCATTAAATAGGGAGTTGCAGGAGAGATGCAGAATTCTGGAAAACACAAAATTGCAGGTGGAAAAGGATTGTTTCCAGCTACAAGGAGCCCTGGAAGTAGAACGAAGAGATAGGAGTCATGGATCAGAAATTATTGGAGAACTACAAGGTAATAATTTTATCATAGTGTAAAAATAAAATGTAAAGGTTTTTTTCTTATAGCTTGGAATATAAATAACAATTTTGGACCGAGTTACATTTATGAATGGTGAAACATAAATATAAATGCTCTTATATAAAAGTAAACATTGCATACTTTATGTAAAACTAAGGATTTGTGGTAGCTGTTCCATTTCATTCATTCATTCATACGTACATACATACATACATACATACATACATACATACATA